AATAATTTAAATTATAAAATGTTTTTCATTTTAATATAGATATTTTGTAATTTTATGTGGTTTAAATTAAAATAAAATAAAAAATAAAATTTTAAAAACATTGCAATTTCTCTTAACGCAAAATATCAACCATGCCGACCAAAATATCAACCGTGCCGACCAAAATATCAAGACCTCCATTTAAATGTTATCTCAGCATCGCGTCAGGACCTCTTAATTTTTATTTTTCAGTAAATTTCTTCCTTTATTTGTTTTGGTCATACATTTAAACATTTTCCCTTTTTTTACATAAAATTAAAGTGTGATTTATTGGACTCTACCAAGCGGCCTGATAGGCCGCACGCTTTATTGAGGAAGGGAAGATATTCATCAAATCTGATAATCAAATCTTCAGTTACTAACAACTAATAAAATTAACTTTCTAACCATTGTTTTTGTAAAAAAAAAAATGTGATTTATTATGCTATATTTTTTATAAATATTAATAAAAAGATAAAATCTTTTAATATTAGGTATTTTTATCACCATTAATAATTAAAATAATATAGTTCATGTAAAATGAATATTGTACTACAATATTCTTTTTTATTAAAATAATATTTCACATTTAAATTATATCAATTACAAAATACAAACTCTTAAATAAAAAGGGGTTTAAGTTTTGTAATCAGGTATATTTTTTAAACTATAAAACAACAAATTCTTTTTTTATACGCACTTATATTTCTTCTTCTTATTGCCTCTTCAAATGAAAAAACAAAACTTTTAATAACTTCTTTGATTTTCAATTGAAATTTTTTTCAGGGATGCTACTTTTTACGATACCTACAACTTTTGCAATTATGGGTCTTTTTATTTCCTTAATAAGAAAATCGAAATAGAACACTATAAAGTTGTTTGCTCCAAAAAAAAAAAAAAAAATCAGCATAAAGTTTCTTTAATCTCTGAGACAAGCATAATGTTTCTTAGAATCAACTTTTGTACAAGTGATTGCAAATAAAATACCCAAATCAAATAAACATTTTAAACATAATCCAGCCACAAGAATAAAGAATCCCTTCGCATTTTCTTTCTTTCTTCAAATTATGAGTAAAAGGAGTGTTACTCTGCAATGGCTAAAAATCTTTTCTCAAACGTTTGCAGGCACCAAAACTGCAAAAGCATAAAAGTCCTTCCTCAGTGTTTACAGGGATTGAAAACCAGTTCCTAGAACAGCTAAATATCTGGTATTTTAACCCCAATAGAATGATTCAATAATTAAAATTTTAAAATTTTAAGTTAAAAATCTCAAGTTTGAATCTTGAGTTGACCGAGGAAAAATTTAAGAAAAATGAATGACTACTCCCTTTCTTATAATCCATCCATATGTATAAAATATATATATCCGGCAATTTTCACAAAAAGCACGGAATTCATGAGAGCTATGGTTTCATAATTTCTCGGCCGTTAGTTTACGATCTTACGACTTGAAAAAACAACAGTGAATTACATCAGGAATCATACGGTTGAGGAAAACTTAACAGACTTAAAGAAGTGAAGTTAAAAAAAGGAGAGGGAGTTATAGAAGCTAAGTACATCATTCCAGTTAATGGCCAAGTCAGTGCATAGTGCCATTAGTTTCATTCACATAATTGAGATAAAGAGTACCCCAGAAGAAAACCCTTTATAATAGTCAGATTTCTGTCTGAAGACACAATCATTTCAACCAAAGTGGGTCTAGTTATGAAGTGCCAATCAGAATTTGGAAGAGCAAAATCCGTCTCGTGCAAAGGATAACCTAGCAATAAGCATACAAGCTGCTGAGGCCATTGATTCTTCCTTCCATATGGTATCTGCAACTCTCTGCCATAATATAGACGACATCAGCATATTTCATTTTCATTAGTAATATCAGAGTGTGATCTTGTTTTTTTCTTCAGGTTTCTGAGGTGCAGAATATGAATGGGAAATTCTAACACCAGCAATCTGGCAAGGAAGTCAAAAGCCAATATCCTTTTTTTTCTTTAAAATAAAAATGGAGAGTGAGTGAGTGAGAGGCTGTCCACACGAAGGTTCCTTTTGTTCTAATCTAAAGGCAACGACAAAATTAATGCACCAAGACATATACCCTACACTTCAACCACATGAACTGAGCCAATATATCACCGAAAGAAGCAACCCACTTGTCAAATTATAAAAACAAATGAGCAAACAAAACAGTTTTTCAAATTACTAATATCTGATATTGATCTTAATTTCGTGGGCCATATTAAAATTCAGGTACAACAAAAGACGCTGCACAATTGCAGACATTAATTTTACGATAAAAAAAATTTTCATTTTTGGCTATTATTTGAAGTTCAACATTGACAACAAACTGGTCCTATTCAAAAGCATAGTCAGCAGCAACGTGAACAACTTGGAGCTGCCACCTTAAAATTGATAAGGAAACTGCATCTAGGAATTAAGTCTGTGTATCCTAGATACTTCTTTCAGTAGTGTGGTGTATCTTTCCTCTTACGTAATTTGTATATAGGGCTACTTTAGGGCTATGTTCCTTTAGTATATATATACTCTTTTGTGTACAGCAATAATACATGATTACATCCTTTCTTCCGCCTAACTCTCATAAAAATAACAACCGCCAATCCCTTTATTTAAGCTATTCATTAACTAAAAAAAGGAGAAAAAACATACCAAATGATTCACAAAATCATCAAGAGATTATTTCTTATATAGTCAAGAATATTCTTGTTTAGGAAATTACCTCACATCAGATATCAATCCTCAACAGAAATCAGGCAAGTGAAAAGCATTCCCTCATAAAGCTGGGGTTTAATGGAGAAACCATTCTAGAAAAAGTTGTGGTTTGTAGACGGCCTGTTTCTGCAGTTAGGACAGAGAGGAACCACCAAGCCTTTATCTGCCTCACTGTCAAAACCTTCACTACGAAACTCATTTCCGCACCAGGAACAATAGGAAGTAACCGGATTTCTGCCAGCCACCTTTGGCAACAAAGGCAAGGCTTCCTTCTCAAACCAAAGAGAGGAATCAAACCCAAGGGCCATATGTGAATCATATGATGACACCTTGGAGTCCTGTGAATTAGAGCTTGTTTGAGCAGTTAGAAAATTGTATTCCATATGTTCAATGCAGCCTGGTCTCAGCTCTTGAAAACCTGATGTACTGTTGAACTTCTCATTGACATTAAACAATTCACTTTCGCCCTGCCCATTGCAATTAAAAATGTTATGTTTCAAAGGTTTAAGTTGAATGAGCATGTGAATTATTTTGTAGCATTTACTTGAAAAATCTAAACTCAGATGTGCAAAACCTCTCCCTTCCTTCCTTCAGGGAAGGGGTTAATCCACCATCACCAATGACATTTACATCCCAACTTGACACATCTTGCAAAACCAGCGACATAATAATTAACTGATAAAACCTTAAAATTATACTTTATTGGGTTCATCAAACACAATAGATTTATACTATCATTTACCTTTCGCTGTGCAAAAATTAACAAAAAAAAAAAAGTTCATTACTATTACACAGTAGCATATGGTAACTTAAATAACTTAAATGTCATTATTACTTGTACCTTATTTGCCCTCACATCAAATGGGGGGTAATGAAGAGGATGCAAAAGTTGAGACGAAGTCTCAGCCAAATCAGCCAGCAGACCATTTTCATCATCAGTTTTCCAAATATATTCAGTTATAGCATCATCACTTGGACAGGCATGATTACCAAAACCAATCATAATTTCATTGTTCTTTGCATTTTTGAAACCTTCTAACCCTGGCCCCTCTTGTACTGTGCCTGCATAAGAAACGTTCAAATTATTTTTGACATATGTTTGTTCACTAGCAGAGACACCAAATAAGTTCTCTAAAGAACTTTTCTTTTGCTTTGGTTCATGAACACTGCCACTGCCAACCCCAGGAACATTATTTTTACTAGCAGATTTCTGCTCAATACCAGAAAGAAGATAGGAACAACTTTTCTGCCCAGTGCCTGTCATGATGCCTGCATCTGATTTGGTGTGAGTGCTGTCAACCAAATAACTTACATTCAGATCAGTTACATTACTTCTTTGCTTATTATACAATGGTTGAGGAACACTGCTTTGACCCCTATCCTGCCTAAGCTCCTTTAAATTGCAAGTATATGCTTGATCATTCACATTTGGAACAAAAAGACAACCTTTAGTTCTTTGCTGCTCAGCAACAGTATCAGCTTCTAATCCATTGTCATTCCTGCCAACAGCTTGACACAACCCACTTGAACTTTGGACCTTCTCCAGTTCAGACACCCCAATAGGCCCATGAGAACCCTTATCCGCATTATTATAGTAACCAAAGATTTGCTCACTTACATCTAAAGTCAGCAGCCCAATTTCGATCTCTTTCTGCTGTGGAGGTCTCTTACCATCATCTTTGCTTGCAAAGCAGATTGTTGGGTCTTTATCCCTATATTGACCGCCCACAATAACTTCATGATCATCCTTTGTTTTAGTTGAAACAAGATTCAAGTTATTGTTGATGACACGTGCTTTCTCATCCAAATGTGAGGTTAAGCCACTTTCGGTGCTTCTTACCAAAGTTAAAGTCCCTCTCATATCATCAGTAAGGTCATATCTTTTCTCATTTCCAGATGGAACATGCCCTTCAGAAATCCTTTTCTTCATTACATCATTTGTGGCATCTGCCAGCCCAGGGCGAATGTTGTAACCCCCAGATTTCAGGTCATCCTTAGCACTTTTGTTGACATAATTAATTTCAGTCTCTGTTGTTATGCTTGTAAAATGCTTATCGTCAATTTTTTGGCAACTAAACATTTTCTCCTTCCCATGCATAGCCAGTGGACCACTGTTACCCTCCCTCTTCTCTTCAGTTGAATTGATGTGAACACCAGCATCTGTATCATGAGAAGATTCAGAAATATCAGTATTCTCATAGTCAGACAAGAATTCTTCAGCATGCAAACAAATATAAAATTTAGAAGCAGCATTGTCA